TTAAAATAATACACTATAAGCTGGGGATGGTGGTACAGCCTCCCAGCACTCTTGGAGGCTGAAGCAGAGGGACAGCAAGTTCAAGACCAGTCTGGGTAATCTGCTGACTTAGCAAGGTACTGCCTCAAAATAAAAAAGAAAGAAAGGAACTGCGTGTGCTGGTGCTCACCTGTAATCCCAGCATTCAGGAGGCTGAGGCAGGAGGATCTCTGAGTTCAAGGCCAGCCTGGAGGATTACACAGTGAGACCCTGTCTCAGTCAATCAATCAATCAATGGCTAGGGGTGCAGCTCAACGCAAAGGCCCTTGGTTCAGCCCCTGGCACCCCTCTAAAGAAAGTACACCACATTATTAGTCCTATGGAACAGACAAAGTAGAGCAGGTAAGATTACAGTCCTGGGAGTGAGGGTGAGGTGGCTGTGCTAATGCAAACGATGCAGCCTGGGGACGCAGCTCCATGGGAGAGTCCTTGCCCAGCACGCAGGGGGCCTGGGTTTGATCCCCAACCCCGCCACAAAAAGAACCTGAGGTTCTGGGGAGGTGAGACTGACCACAGGACGGCTGGGGGAAGCGCTTCCGGGCGGGGCCTGCCTGCAGGGTCCCGGGCCAGCGCGAAGGCCAGCGCAGCCTGCGCAGCGAGGCAGGGAGGGAACGCGCGCACGCCGCCTGGCTCTCGGGTGGCTGCGAGGGTCCGGTGCGGAACGGGGCAGGCGGGGTCTTCGGGGGAGGACAAGAGCACAGACGGCGCAGGTCGGCAGGGTAGCGTCTCACCCTGACTGCACACAGGAAGCTGACTTCAGCTCACCGTCCAGCCCGCGCTGGGCGGAGAGCGCCTGGGCGAGGGTCTCGCACCGTGGGGCCCAAGCGGGGAGAAGGGAGGAGCTGGGGAGGGAGCTGCACCTTCCAGGCGGCCCGGCGGCTTCCTCCGGCCAGACCCCGCCTCCTGGCAGCGGGGGCTGAGCACAGCGGAGGGCTAACGCGGGGAGGAGGCGCTCCCACACGACCACCCTCAGAGCCCCTCCGAGTGCGTGTGGGCTTCAGGGGGAACCCTGAACCCAAACCCTGACAGATCCCTCCTCTCTGCATGTTCCACACTGGGGAGGAGGAGGTGGAAGGAGGAGCGGTGACAACAGGCCTTGTCAGACTCGGGAGCCAGGGTGGGGCGGGGAGAGCAAACAGAGGCTGCGGCTCACGGCTCGTTTAAATCTCTTGAGTTTCAGAACACTGGGATTAATTTTTTCTTTCCAGAGACAGGGTCTCCACTAAGTTGCTCAGGCCGAGCTCAAACTTGTGATCCTCCTGCCTCAGCTTCCTCGTGTGCTGGGATTACAGTGTGCGCCACCATGCCCAGGTAGAACACTGAGATTTAGGCCAGGGGATGAGACATTCACAGGCTTGCTTTTGAAGAGTGCTTTCTGAGCACAGACGTCAGCTGTCCTCGTGATGGTCTTCGTGATTTCAGAACAGTGCTGCTGTACTTTGCTGAAAAGTTCTCCACGTAACAGCTCCACGCACACAGCAGACGCTTCCTCCCAGAGCCGTTTCTCTCCCGTGTCCATGGTCCCGTGGTGTCTGAGGATCCCAGAACCTCATGCCGCAAGACCAAAGAAAGAGGCAAACAGCCAGGATTACACAGAATGCACATTTATTGGCCAACAGAAGCAGGAGGCTGAGACTCCTGCAATCCAGGTCAGAGGAAGGCCTTCTGCAGTTAAGTGGTCAGGACAACAGTGACTCTCAGTCCAACTGAAATGCACTGGTGGATCTCAAACTAACATCAAAGACCTCAGGCACGTTCCTGGCGTCACGCACCCGTCAGTCGTAAACGCATGAAGTCCCACATAGCCGTCTGAGGGCTTGTCTGTGGGATGCTGGAAAAGAGATGAGGGAAGGAAGACCAGAGCTACTCAGGGACAACCACAGCAATCACCGCCAAGACGGCTGTGGTCACGCCACGCTGGATCCCCGCAGCGGGCACTGGCAGGCCTGCGGCGCAGCTCCACCCTCCCGTGGTTCTCCTAGACCAGTGGTGGCAAACCTGCGGCACACAGCCACCTGCTTCACCAAAAGCTCCAAAGGGTTTGCCATCACTGGCCGAGAGGCGCGCATCGAGAAACTGCAGACTTGCACACAGCGGCCAGCTCGAAGACTCACGCGTGTCCTGGCAGTCCCGCCGAGGGTGCCTTCGTGGCCTGCTCAGCTTGAGGCAGAACTGAGGACCACGAGGGGTGGGGGGCCACTGAGGAGTAAAGCCTGTGGCTAGCACAGGCGAGTACTGGGTCACTGAGGTGACCAGGCAGGGAGCACGAGGAAGACGGGAAACGGCGGGTCACCTCCCCTCGACGGATGTTTGTTCCCGGCTGGAACTGGTTTATTCACCAAAGGCCAGCAATACTGCCAGGTCCACATCCCACGCACGAGTACTTCACCTCCAGATCACCCACTCCTTCCAAGCCCTCGCCCGGGGTTTGGTGCTCTCTGGACTGGGGTCAGCCGAGCTTCTACTGCGATTTTTAACCAGCCCCATCCAGTTGTTGCTCCCTGGGTTCCAGAGTCTAAGACAGCCGCTCACCCGTGCCTGCCCTTTCCACCTCCGGATCACAGGCATGCGGACCACGGGAAGTTCGTTAACCAGCCCCATCCAGGCATCAGTGGTTACGTGTGCACAGCTGTTCTTGCGGCACACAGAGCACTTGTGAGTTTTTAAAACATTTTTTGAATAGAAAAACGTAAATTCCTTCGATTTGGGTGATAGACTGTTTTCCACGTGAAGCACAGTAAGAAGTTCTCCAAACTCACTGCACTTCCAACAGCTCACCCTCACTCCACGAACTCTGCAAAGTCAAAAGCAGCGCTTCCTCACAAATATGAAACTAAACCACACTTCACGTTTTCTGTACGTCCCGAAACAGCCTCCAAGTAAAGAATTTACATGAAGAAAAAAGATTTGCAAGGGTCAAACAATTACTCTGCTTTTAATGTAAACGGCAAATTGTAATTCTCTGCATATTCACTCATCCAACGGCTACCACTGATGGGTGGGATGCCTGATTAACGGGATTACTTTGAAGTAATTTTAAGACCGTAATGACTTAAAAGTGGCCAAGTTTCTTAAATATTTACAAAATTAAACATGAGAGCGCTGGCTTCATTTCCCAGAAACGTTTCTCACGAATGTTCCTTTAACAGGGACACGACACCGTCATTACCGCCTGGGTACGGGGAGCAGAACAGGCCTGCCCGGCCACGTGCACACACAGGCTTCCTTCCACCGCTCAAATATGGAAACAAAAGTACAAACAGGTTCTTTTTATTTTTAACATAAAACAGAAATCACTTAACATCAGACAAAAGCAAGTCCAGTTATACGGTAACAAAAGGACAGCGTGTTTTCTTCCAAAGCACGGCGTCTGGTTTGTCTCTGCGCTTGGTCCTGTTCGTCTGCTGCACTTCTTCCCAGGAAATTTCTTTTCAATGTGATGACTGTCTTCAGGGCAAAACCACCGCACCCCGACTGCAGCAGCGCACGTTCTGTCCGTTCACACACACTCTCACCCACCTCGCTCCAAGCGTCACGGCATTCCTGACAGCACTCACGGACTGTAACCCCACGCTTCCTTCAACTACCCTCTGCCTCGAGTTTCACCGACAGTGAAGAATTTGTACACGGCTCGGTCCTTGGTGCCCACTGCGCGGAAACTTTTTCTGCAGCTTTTGGGACACCGTAAGTTAACTTCTACACCCAGAAAAGCTGGCTTAGGCACACACAACACCCAGGGCGTTTGTAGCAGCGAGGAGGTGCTCTACCCTGCTCGGCACAGTAGAAGATACTGTAAGCCGAGAACCAAGTCATACTTAAAAACAGAAAACCACATATCCTAACCGTGGACTGACTCCCAAGCTGAATTTTCCAATATAGTCTTTCAGTGAGGCTTTTTATTTTAAATAGCCAGGGAAAAAAAAACCCCAAATATCTAGAAGATATGTATGTGTGTGTTATTGTGGTAAGACACATGCCAGACCTTATCATCTTATCGAAAGTATATTCTGTACATGTGACTGGTTTTGCAGGACAGGGTCTTGCTTTGTAGTTCAGACTGTCCTTAACCTCACTATGTAGGCCAGGCTGGCCTCAAACTGGCAGTGATCCTGCCTCAGCCTCCCAAGCGCTGGGATTACAGGCGTGTGCCCCCATGCCCAGCTGTGTGGCTGTTTTCCTATGCTGCTTTCTCACAGAGTTTATAATGTTCAGAAACAGGATTATTTATTACCAGAGGAATGATCTGTCTCAATTTATTGAGGTTAAGAACAACTGCTTTCAACATTCAAATGTCAAGGTGTCAGAAGGCAGAAATACGTCTTGTAATTAAGTATGTGGCCCTACACAGCACAAGCTTCAGCAGCAATCATGTATTTCTTTCATAACCAAAAGCGTTCCTTTTTCAAAGGTGACCTCGGGACTACGGATGTAACTCGGTGACCGTGTTTGTCCTGCATGTGCAGAGCTCTGTGCTGGAGCCTCATCACCCCTTAAACACTATGACCAAAATCAGTGTACCTCACAATGGAAGACCACCCACCAGCAAGTAGAGGGGTTGTACGCACCCTCCCCGAGAAGAGCGTAACTCTGAAAAAGCACACTTCTGCAGCAACAGAATACAGAATCCCTTATCACTACTACAGGACTTTGTGTACTTCACTTGGTGTAACCAGACTGCCCTGCATGTATTTCCTATAATCATCCCTGAAAAGAAGCACAAACCATTTGGTTTTTGAGAGTTCTTTTGGAGACATTCTTGCTGTGTAGTCCACGCTGGCCTTGAACTTGCCACTCTCCTGCCTCCGTGTCCCGAATGCAGGGATTACAGCTGTGCACCACCAGGCCCAGTTTAAGTTTTTGAGAATTAACTTTTTAAAAAGGTAGCAGAGTAGCCAGGTGTGGTGGCACACGCCTGTAATCCAGCACTCGGGAGGCTGAGGCGGGAGGATCTTTGTGAGTTTGAGACCAGCCCGGGCTACAAAGTGAGCTCAAGGCCAGCCTGAACTGCACAGTGAGACCCCGTCTCCAAAAAAGAAAGGCAGTAGCGAAGTTGCGCGTGTGGCTGTCACGTGTGGCTGTCACGACCTCACCACGCCCGCCCTGAGCCCTCCGGGGCGCACCTTCTCCTTGCGTCCTCCGTTACTCGCCCACGCCCACGCTGCAGGGCCAGTTTCTGCCTCACTCTTCACCTTCACTTCTTCAAGTAAACTTTGTCACCATTAAGAAGAAGTGGTATTTGTGAGTAATATTTGTGTTACTTCTTATAAACCACTCGAAACATTCTGAGCGACAACTTTTTTCACCATTGAAGGCAACGCTTTTCCTTCGGGCCGCTTTCTTCTCTCCACAAGAACTCACGGTCGCTGCGCAAGCCGGCTCTTGTTTCCCTCCTGTTCGCGGAGTTTGCAGTGCGTGTAGGCGAGAATGCCGAAGAGCGTGCACGCGATGCCCAGGCCTTGGTTCACGGACAGCGGGTCCTGGAACAGCACGTACCCTCCGCACAAGGTGATGCAGAACTTGAAGTGTCCAAACATGTTGTAGCTGGGTTTTCAGATAAGGACAGCAACGGCGGCGAGCCAGGTCAGGTGCACTCGCACACACGTGCACACACGCGTGCACACGCACGGGCTTGAGCAAAGGCCTCCTGTGGCTAGAGCACTACCTGGAACAGACTACAGAGCAGCCGCCCGCCCCTCTGATGAACAGGAAGGCTGGTGAGGTACGGGATCAACCCTGCCTTCTGCAGATGGGTTTTAGCAACGTAAACCTGGCAGCGGGGGCTGGGGATGTGGCACCTGATAAAGCACTGCCTAGAGCACACGGGGTCCTGTGCTCTGTCCTCAGTGCAGTACAAACCAACACAGAAGGAGAAAACCTCACTGACAGTGACAGGAAGGCACATCCCACTCTCCTGGGATGTGTACACTCCCACAAAACACGGGCAAAAAAAACCACCAGTGCGGTGTGCATGCCTACAGTCACAGCACTCTGGGAGGCTGAGTCAGGAGGATGCCAACTCAGACACCAGGCGTGGTGTACATGCTACAGTCCCAGTACTCTGGGAGGCTGCGACAGGAGAATTCATACTTGGAAGGCCAGCCTGAGTAACTCGGTGATTTAGCGAGACCCTTTACCAAAATTATAAAAAAAAAAAGGCTGGGCACAGAGCTCAGTGCTGGGTTCAATCCTCAGTACTGAAAAATGAACAGGTGACGAGAGACCGGCTCAGCGGTTTCTGCTGACCTCTCCCTGGAGGAAAGTGGTTACTATGCCAGGTTAGGAGAGACTCAGAAGGCAGAAGATCGCACAGCGCGGCTTTCACCAACTGCTCTTGGCGGGAGATGCGCCGCAAGGCGAACACCCTGGTGCTCAGGTCGGGCAGGGAGAGGGCGCTGCGGGGGGAGGGAGGCGCACCGAGCACACGGGTCCTCCACAGGGCGCGGCCGGGAGGTCTCCCAGAGCATCGTGTTCACACCACTGCACACTCGCTCTGCACCTCCCTCCCATGAGGCTCACGGACTTTAACTTGCCCAGCTCACGGAGGACGTTAGTGGCAGGGCTGGCAGCCCAAGCACAGCTGGGTTTATGGAACCCCAAAGTGCCTATTCTAGAGGCGAGGATTTAGCTCAGCGGTGCAGCACCTGCCTGGCGAGCATGAGGTCCTAAGTTCAATTCCTGGTACCCCCCCCACCCGAGTCTCTGTTCTACTCTAGCATATGGCCGGTGACTCGCTGCTGAATTAAGGTTTCCCACATCACTGTTCCTATAAAAAGCGAACACACAGCTGGGTGTGGTGGCACACACCTGTAATTCCAGCACTCGGGGGGCTGAGGCAGGAGGATTGTTGTGAGTTCGAGGCAGTGTTCAGGCCGCGTGGCGGGACGCGAGGGGGTGCTTTGCCGAGACCCTGAGAACTCCCCGAAGGGTGTGTGCACCGTCACGGGAAGGGAGCTTTACTCTCAATTATAAGTGACCTTCGAGCGCACAGGCACTAACGCTTTACGTTTCTGTTCTTCCCCTGCACGCTTTTTAAAGCAGTTTGCGATCCAGTGAAGACATTCGTACCGAAGGGAAGGCAAGCAGCGTGTGATCTGGAGAAGACACTCACACTGAAGGGAAGACAAGCTTAAAGATGCTGCAATGATTTTTCTTCCAAGGAGCAGCCAGGCATGGTGGCATACACCTGTAATCCCAGCATTTGGGAGGCTGAGGCAGGAGGACTGTGAGTTCAAGGCCAGCCTGGACTACACAGGGAAACCCTGACACACTCACACACACACGAACAAAACAGAACTCCAGCGTTACTTGGAGTAACAGTGCTCATGTGGAAACTCATTCAAGCTGGGTAGTTACCGCTCAGTCCGCTCCTGCCCCGCTTACCCTGCCCCCGCGCACGGGCTTCCTTGCCCTCTCCGCCCCTGAACTGCTGCTGCCCTGCCTGAAACTGTCTTCCCTCCCCACCTGTGGAGGAGGGCACCCTACAGCTCACCTTCCGGGGTAGTACCTACGTGGGACTTCGGGCCTGACCGCCATCTGACTGCGTGGCTCTGGAGGAAGTCCAGCAAAAGCACCGTGTGAAAGGAAATGAGAGCGGGACCTGTGTCCCCGCGGAAAGCCTGGGGACAGCACTAGGAGCTCTGCTGGGACACGCCGCAGGAACGCTGGCACGGCTGGCTAAGCCGAGGTCCAGCTCCGGGGGGATTCAGCTGTGGGCCTCAATAACCCCGTCAAGGATTCCTCGCATTTCCCTGCTGCTGCTTCTTGTGAGAGTCCCGACGAAAGGCTAAAGACGACGGTGATCGAGGCTTCAGGCCTGCAGGCTGCAGCCCCAATCCTGCACCTTGGCCTCTTTTCTCTTCATCCACCACTCCTCGTTCTCAAGACCAGTCACCCACAGAAACCAGCATCTACCCGACACCGACCCGTCTGCATGGAGCAACCCGTTCCCGCCAGTCCTCAC